AAAAGTCTCAGTTTTGCCTGAGACTCTTGAAGGGTGAGACACAGGATCATCATAGCCACTGCTGAAGGGTATGGAAGGTGCATAAAAGATGAAGAAAAGCCCATCCCAGAGATGCAGGGAAGTGGTGGTGCTATCCTAAGTGTGCTTCCTGCTGTGCTTGGCTGATCCTGAGCAGGTTGATCCATACAGTCTTGTGCACGTGAGTATGCTGATGGGAGAGTGGGAGTGGGTAGGACCAACTTACTGGAATCTTTTAAATCAAAAATCACCTTCCCTACCTCTAAGGTCTTGCAAAGAGTTTTGTTCTACAAATTTCCCACTGTAATGAGACTAAATGTTCTAGTTCTGCTAATAGTGCATGTAGGAGGTGATATATACCCATATACATTTTATATAAACCCCAGTTGCCTTTAAAAAACACCTAGATAATTAGATTGCAAAGTTGCTGTGTTAAAGGAGTATTCCTGCTAAAGAGTGGCACTCAGCTGCTGTGAATGGAAGTTGTCTGTTTAATTTTCATGTTGCCCTCCTGTAGGAAAGCTGCTGCCATCCAAATATTTCTCATTTTCTAAATGCTCAGCTTGAGAGGTGCATTGAATGCTGCCAATTATAGGTGACACTACTGCACTGAAGCATATAAAGTGCCACAAAAAAAGGCACCATTAAGAAAATCAGGCCACCCCAGTTCCCTCTCAAGCAGGCTTTCTGCATGAGAGGTTCTGGCTGACCTGGATGCTGCAGCTATAAATGGAGGCAGCTCTCTGCTCCCACAGAAGTAAGAAAAACTTGTGCTCTGAGCACAGTCCAGGTGCATTTCTTCCCTTCCTGCCTGTCTCTGTTCCTGGCCATGCTGGTGTGAGCTCTGCAAAACAGCCACTGCTCCCAGTGAGGGCTTGGGGACAGCTCCACTGCTGTCCTGCAAGGGGCTGGCTTCTGCTTTTCTCAGGGTACTGTGGGGAGAGAAACAATGAAATGCTTGTGAAGCTTTCCTGGGTGATAGTGATGAGCTATCCAGGAGAATAATATGTCTGTGTTCTTAAAATCAGTAAGGGTAGAGAAGTGACACTTAGCAAACAGGGTGCTGAATGAGTGCTCTTGGTTTTGTCATTCCTTCAGCGGTGGAGGAGAACCTGGGAGAGTCCTGTGAGCAACAGTAATGCCATGGGATTGAATAAAATAACCTTTATGCAATTGAGAAATTTGCAAATTGAAGCTATCCAGCCACGTAAGTGTGTCTCTGTTCATTGCTGCTCAGCTCTGCTGTTTTCCTCATCTCTCCAGAGCCATCCTCTGAAGGGGTGGCTGTGCAGGTGGGTTCCTGGTTCCCTGTGCCCTCCTGCTGCCGTGCTCCTGGTCTGATGCTGTGGATGCTGTCTGCCAGACACTGGACACTGCTGCAGGCAGACTCTTGGGCTGCCTTTGAAGAAGGCAAACTCACCAGTCCTTAACCAGTAAGTGAGAACATCTGGGGGTAATTTGTTTTATTACTTCTTAGATGTTCAGTTTAGAGAAAAAACATTGTCTTTTACCCTCTTTCTCCCACAAGAGTTGGCAGGACTTAGTTTGAGTTACTTAAATGTTTGTAATAATGTCCTTAATCTAGAGTTCAATGACAAGATTTGGAGATCAATGATTTTTAGCATGGCAGCTTAAAGTCAAGTTGAGAATATGAGGGCAGTGAGTTCCTTACTCTTCTTGCTCTCTCAAACATGGGGATATTTCCCTGCTGCCAAAGGGTGGATCTGTTCTGTTCTCCAACAATAAAAAGCAGATGATTTTCCTTCTTAAAATACCCAAAGGGGATTGCTAACACAGATCCTCTTCTCTGTGTGCCCATCCTCAAGTGCAGAGCCAAATCCCATCCCTTCCAGCAGCAAGGAAAAGCAAATCCCTGGCACTGAGGGCACCCAGATTAACCCACTGCAGGATTAGGGTGCTTGAGCTGTTGTTAGAAGATTAGTATATTTGGTTGTCAACACTTGCTGAACTTGGCCTGAAAATGATTTCCAAAGAGGCCACAGGCTCCTGGGTGCCAGTTTGCCCAGCACACTGGGAAAGCCCTGGAGTTAAAGCAAATAAGGATTAAACTGGAGCACTGAGTGTGCAGAATGTCTTCAGGATTTAAACCCATCATTGCTGCTGGTGGGGACAGAAAGCTCTGGCAGACTGATCATAATATCTGAGCTCCTGCCTTGCTGGGGAGGTGTTTCTGGAGCTTGGCTTTCTGGAGTTTCCTGCTGATGGCAGTGTGTGCCATTAGGTGGGTGAGCTGCCCACAGATGAACTTTTCTCAGCTCCTGCACAGTGCAAAATGAGTTTATTTTGAGGACAGAGCCTCCACAGGGGCATCTCTAGGTAGAATGCAATTGGCTTCCACTTTCTCTTCTGGGACTCAAACTGTCTGTGCTCATCATGTTTTATTTCAGCTACTAGCAGGAGGATTCATGTCAAGGGTTTTTTTTTTAAATAGAGGATCTTCCTCTTTGTGTATTTTCCTCTGCTTAGCAGTGGAAAACTGCCTTGATGGTAAAATAACTGTTAGCTGGAAACTGTTTTTTCTATCATAAGCCAGATGAATACAAACTTATATTTGATTCAAAGCAACTCGTCTTGAAAGGTACCAACCACTGTCTGTGTCATGGAATTGGTCCCAGTGATTTCATTCAGTGGCATTATCTGGATTTCAAGACACATCCTCTTGTAAATATGGATTTTATCATGCTTTGTGCATCCAAACATTAGCAGCCATTTCTTGTCTGAAATTCATATAACTGCATTTGCCACTCCTGTGACAATATAATTTTATTTCCTCAACAGGCCAGCAAAGATATTCAAACCCACATTGAAGAAATAAGCCTAAAAGTTCTCTCAGAGAAGATACACTATAGAAAGGTAGGGCCTTTCCATAAAAGATTCCTTTGAGTTTAACTCTGGTACCTTAAAGCTATAGCTGTCCTGAGCATTCCCCAAAGTGGGAATCTGTGCAGCCTAGTGAAGCAAGAGACGTTCAATTTTAATAACTTTATAAGCACTAAGTACATTGCTCTGTATTTTATGAACGTACCTGAGGGGATTTTTGTAGAGCTGCATGATAAAATAATTCTGAATATTTTATCCAAGGCCTGTGTTGTGATTTATTCTGAAAAAACCCAAAACTTTCTGAAACCCAGAATGTGGGCCTTAAATTTCTGTCTGGATTACAGGGTGTGGCCAAGGACAAGGCCACCACTGTGGTGGCATTGCTTCCACTTGTCTCACTGCAACAAAAGATGCATTCTGGAATAACCAGCAAGAACATGGGTTTTCCAGTGTGGGAAAAGGTGCATTGTAGATTTTAATCTATTAGGAGGAGAGGCCATACAGTGTTTGTAATGGTTCTGCTTGTCCTTCAGCCCATGCTTGCTGCAACAAGACCTTGTAAACCTGTGATTTGAAGGCAGTTTCTAGGACATGGGCAGAGTCACTGTGCACATATCTGGGGGGTTCACAAAGTGAAAAAGGGAGAGAAAAATGCCAATGCCACCATGCTGTGAGCTCAGGCCTCTGCCTTCTTCAAGGAACACACTAGGCACAAGCAGCTCTTGTTTTTGATCCATGTGTAGAGCACAATTATTTCTTAATTAATAAGAAATAATCATATGTAAACCACTGGTTTCCACATCAGAATACCTCCAAAGGGTGGACCTCAGAATGCCTCCAAAGGGTGGACCTCACATCTGCACTGATAAATAGACAGCAACAGTGCTGGCTGGATGCCCTGCACTTCCCACGGCTGGCAAACCCCTGTTCATAAGGGCTTTCCACCCTATCTCAGTGGCCAAGGAAGCTCCAGCTGGGTTAATTCCCAGTCCCATGATGTTGTTTCCAATGGGTGAAATAGGTGCTAGTTAATTCACTGCCTTTATATTTGACATGGGGCAGTTCCCAGCCAGACTGTTTGGTAAGCACTGTGGCTGCACAAGGTAAATAACATTTTGGTGCTGAAGAATATTTTAAATTGGCTATAAAATTAAAATTTAAGCGGAAACAAGCAGAAATATAAAATGAAAGTAGTGGATGTGGTGAGACTGTGGTTCTGTAGCAGATGGAGACTGATCAGCTTGCATGGCTTGCACTGCTTCTGTGGGGTGGGCTTGCACTGGGAGGCAGAAACCTTTTCTATATCAAAGGACAAAAATTTACTTGTGACCCAATCTCCATCTGGGGCTGTAGGAAGGTCTGAAGATGCTCACAGGATCCAGACTATGGATCTATGTTGTTTATGGTTAGGCTGGATCTTAAGAGTTCTTTTCCAAACTAAACTTTTCCGCAGTTCTCTGTGCTCACCTGTGTGTTGGAATCTGAGGTATTGATGATTCCCAGATTGTAAAAGTCTCTGTCTTTCAGCCCCGTTGCCAAAGCAGAAGCCATAATTGGTCTGTGCTGGTTTCAAGGTTGTTTATTCTGTTTATCTCTAACATGTTCTGCTGCCCTGCCGCAGCTCTGTCCTGCAGGGCAGCGTGTGGGGCTCTGCCCTCAGTGGGATGGTACAAACATTAAATACCAGAAACTACCTGTGCTGGATTTACAATAACGTGCCAATATCTGTCACCTACGTTGGACAGTGTGTCCCCAGCCTGAACCAACAGAAAAATGCCAACACCACAGTGAAACATGGAGGGCATGAAGAAGGAGAAAAAGGACAAGACACACCCAATTTCCTCCATCTTGTCCCCTTTGGACCCCTCATCTAGAATCCTAAAATTTTACTTTTACACCCGTGCCACACTTAATTATTACTCATATCAAACACTCAGAGCTGGTAATTCATCCTGTAAGATTGAAAACTCTTTTCCATGGACAGAGATCACAGCCAGTGTCTGTGGGGGCTCTGTACAGGGGGGTTCCTGACCCCTGCCAGGGCAGCCAGAGGGATTCCCTGGATTCCCACACTCTGGAAATGTTTAAGGCCAGGCTGGGTGTGGATTTGAGTGACCTGGTCGAGTGGGAGGCGTCCCTGCCCACGGCAGGGGGGTGGTTGGACCCACACAATCTTTCAGATTCCTTCCAATTCAAACCATTTTCATCTCCATCCTGCCCAAACCCCACGTCCAGTCTGTTTCTCCAGCACCTCCTGCCAGCATTTCCCACTCAGGAGCGCTAAGATTTTGAGATGCAGTATTTCTCAGTTTCCTTCCTCCTGGCAGGGATGGGGAAGGACAAAGCAGGCAAGAGCCCAGAGCATGCACTCATTAGCTTCTGTCTGCCAACAATGTGGGAACATGCAATGTTATACGAAATGTCTGGCTGTTATAAAAGGCTTTGGTTAAGTAATCACATTTCTCTTGCATAAGTGCTTGTTTTTGGGAGGCCTTAGCCAATTGGAGGCTGCAGCAGCACGCAGAGAGAAAGCATGTCTGACTTCTGTGAGGTGTTGTTTTGTTTTTTTTAATAATAATAAGTGATTAATAATCTGCTGAGAGCTGTATGAAATCTCTTTAGATAAGGTTAGGAGGAGGAGATTCCCCAGTGCTGCTTATAGCTGAACCACAGCTGTAATACTCTGCCATAAAGCCTGTGTGGATTCCTGTGAGTAATATTTCTGATTCTTCTAATGGGTTTTTGTGACTGGAGACTGCAGGCAGGAAATGTTGCAGAAGTTTATTGCAAGCAATAAGTTAGAGGGAGGCAGGAGGTGAGGGACACTGGTGAAACTGTTGACCTGTTTAATAAGGCTTTCCTCCTGGACTTGTGTAAGCAAACGTGGATTTCTCTGAAGCTGTGCAATCAAGGTTCGTCCAAATATGCTAATGAAAAAGAAATGTGATGCTGAAGTCAACTACAGGACTATGGGAGGTCAGAGTTTTGGCCTGACAGGGAGATCACAGGACTACTAGTCCCATGTACTGGTTTGGAGCAGGCAAATGTCCTATTCTTATATTATTTCCTTGATCATTGACAAGTGTACAGTGATATTTTTCTTCTATGTTTTCATGGCCTTCAGAAATCTGCATGTCAGTTATTTCCTGAGCCAGAAATGGTACCCCTAATAGTACAATGCAATAGTACAACACAAGGGTACAGTAGTGGATTTTTATTTTAAGAATTTGCTAATCCAGTGTATCTATTGAAGACAACATGTTGTTCTGAGATTTGACTGACATAAATCTAGTTGGGATTTCATTTCTTGCATACTTCCACATAGGATTTTAATTTTTATTGTTTAAAATGGTGTTTTTTCTGTTAAGATAAAACTGAAAATGAAAAAAACATGTATAGATTCACAGGAAACAAAACCTCCCTTCCCACTTCCTTGTGACGTGTCTGATGCAGCGCGTTCTGTGAACAAAAGCTGGAACTATAAAACAATCCACTGAAGTGGGAACTGGAATTTATTGTTCAAGACTGAGCAATGTGAAACAACTCAGTTGTTACTCCTGACAGCCCTGGAAAGCATTGAAGTGCCACTGTAGAGAGACAGCAGCTCAAATGCTGAGCTGTGAGGAGAAATAAAGCTGTTGCCTATAGTTGGGTGTGTGTGTGCTTCCTCTTAGAGGTGGCACTGAACTTTTCTGGCATAGAAAAAATGCTGGACTAGTGGAAATCTCTTGGGAAAGCTCAATCCACTACTTACTAGCTTTGAAAAATTGTAGAATGTGTATTTTATAGTCTATAAAGTTCTTGAGACGTGCTAAAGCATTTAAAGCTTATTTGCAGCCAGTAGATGAGGAGGTAATACCACCATGAAAGGAAGTCAATTTGTCACAGTTATAGGATTAGAGAGGTAAATGTGAGAAGTTTTGTTGAACTAAAAGGCATTTGGCTGCAAAGTGAAGGCTTCAACATTTTCATATTTGCTTCCTAGAGTGGGCAAAATTGGTAAGCCTGTTTGCTTCAGTAAAACTGCAACAGTGATGCCAGATAAGCTGATTTTGTGGGCTAATTATTTAGGCCTTTGTAAAAACTTCAGGCAAATTTAAGTTATGGCTCTTGCAATGGAGGGTGGCAGAGCAGGTGGCTCTACCAAAGCTTCCCATTTCTATTCTGCAACCTCATAAGATCTTACCAAAGAGAGATGCTCCTAGCCCATGCAAAGGCCTTTTCAGTTCTAATGAAAACTCCACAAACGAAAGTTGGCAGTTAAAATTTGTGAATTTACAACATTATTTCTAAAACAGTCTCTGGGATGTGGAACAAATCCAGGCTTCCTTTAGGATAAGCCAACAATATCTCTAATGTGTTTCAGAGTAAGATGGATGCTCTACATAAATTGAAGATTTTGGTGATGTTTTTGTCTCTGGCTACTTTCATGATCATGGTGATAATGAATGCTGGAAATGCCACTGGGATTTTCAAAGGTAATACAAGCAAATTTTCTTCATTCAGAGGTGGGTTTCATGCTTGGCATTATGCAATGAGACAAGGTGGCTTAGATGGGATAGATGTGTTTGCTGCCTCCCCAACTCTCCAAACACACCTTGTTCTGGTGCATCCTCCAGGTTTACAGCCAAATGCCTGAACCCTATCCAGCCCCTTGAAATCCCAGTCAATGTCCCCACTGCAGCTAGTGGAAGGCAGGCTTTGCACACCCCTGTATCCCTGGTGGAAGAGGTTCAGGGTGCTGCATTTGAACACTCCTGGCTGCATCTGCCATCATGCCACCCTCTGCATTACACAGACAGCTGTTTCTTCTGTCTCTGTGGGAGGGGGAAGGTGCACGGTGTCCCCAATAAGGGACAGTGATCCCATCATGGATGTCTAAACCAACTGCAGCACGTGGCTGGTTTGCACCAAGGGCGTGCTCCCATCATCCCTGAACCCACTGAGGCAGGGAGGAAGGCTGAAGGCTGAGGAAAATCAGCAGTCTTTCCCCATCCTCTGGATGCAATAACACTTTTGCCTGCAACAACATTCCACAGGTCTGTTCAGGACAACCCCTGGAAACATCTCAGCCAAGTACAGCACAGATTTCACACCAGCTGGCTGGACTTTCCTCATCTGGAATGTCATCTACGCCTGGCAGCTCGCCTGGCTTCTCTACGCCTTGTCAGGGATCTGCAGAAGGTATTTTCCCTATTTCTCTTTACAGTATACATGAGAAGGGACAGTGACTTCCCTTTTGGACTCTTACCTTCCTTTCAGGGGTTTCTAGCAAGAGCAAACCCATTGCCATCTGTCTTGACCTGACATGTTGAAGCTCTGTGGCTGGAGCATCTCTTACATCCAGCATCCAAAGCTGGGACACAGTTTGGAGGTCTACATGAGCTCCTCTGAAGTGTGGGCAGATATCAAAGTGTGTAAAGTCCTCAATGAGTCCTTGTTTCCAGCAATTCAGGGAATCTGACAGATTTACCCAGTGCCTGCACTTACCCACTGCTAGAGGCTGAGAATCCACAGGGACAAAATGAATGGATTACAGAGCTAATGTTTTGAGTTTACTTTCTGTTAGGGATCAAACAGCCAGCACTGGGGAGTCTCTTGGTTTGTTGAACTGGGCTGGAAAGTTTTCTTAGGGCTATGAGATCAATAACTACCTGTCAGGGAGAGCCACAGGTATTTCTGTATTGTATCAGAGAAGGACACAGAGGAGAAATAGTCTGATTTAAGCCAAAATATTTCATTCCAATGTAAAGTCCCTCCTAATATAAGGCAGATGAAGCCAGAAAGGTTTGTTTGGTCAATGCAGGCATTGTTTTCCTCTCTCCATACCCACTTTTTCCTGGCAGGAATGAACTTGGATATGTCTTCATGAAGCCAGACTTGCTGCCAATACCTTTTTATGTGGCGTGGTGTCTGAATAATGGCCTCAATGTTGGATGGCTCTTTCTGTGGGACCGAGAGTAAGTTACAAAGTCTTCTGTTACAAATACTTTCTAACACTCTTGATGGGATTGCCCCAGTAATTTTGGGGTTTTTTTTGTGTTTTTTTAAAATTTTTTTTTCTCTGTGTGTGAACGCTTAATCACACCTGTAAAACTCTATGCCAGGCTTTGACAAAATGTAGCCTTCATAAAAGTTTGGGGGTTTTGCATTATGTTGTCATCTTGCCCATGAAACAGATTGGTCCCTGAAGTCTAAGGTCTCCTCAAAGCTGTTGTTCTACATTTTTGCCTCCATAGGTAAGACAGGAGCCATGCCTCCCTGCATTAATGCAGTTAAGCTCCTTGCCTTGGATTGTTTCCATAATGATGGTCACATTAAGGGCTTAGGAGAGCACCATTGTCAAGAGGTGAAGAAATAATTTGCAGCCAGGAAAATAACTTCATGATTAACAGAGCAAAACTGCAACAGGAATATGTCAAAACGAGGGCTTTGTAGTGATTACCTTTATTAAAGGCCGATCAACTTAGAACCAGTAAAGGCCAAACACTAAAGCTACAAATTAGGGTATTGTGACACCACTGAGAAAAATGTGATGTTCTTTGTCCTAGATACCTCCTTCCAGCCCTGGTGTTCCTGGCAGTCCTGTCCCTTACCACATGTGCCTGCCTGTTTGTCTCCCACCGAGCCTTGAGCATCCATTCCTCGTGGTTTGTGAAGGCTAACAAGGCTGAGCTCTGGCTCATCCGCATTCTGGTAGGTGGCCTTTGAGAAGCTGTGGGTAAATGGTAAATAAAAACAACCTCTGGGTAGTGCTGGAGGTATCAGGAGTGAAATATCTAGTGGCAGAACATAGATAAGGAAAGATTTCTGCCCTGCACAGGAAAGTTCCTAGCAGGAACTTTTGGAAAGGCATCTACATCTACATCTACATCTCTTGGCACAAACTGGGGGTGGGCTCTGTTCTTGGCACTCTGTTCCTGGCACACCAGTGCTGGATCTCCAGAGCCCCTCTGGGCTCCAAGGCTTCACCTTTTCTCTGTGTTGAGGGACTTTTCCTACAGCTGGGTCCTGAAGTCTGGCTTAACTTCACCGGGGCCTAGGGCCACCAAAGACAAGCAGAGTGTGTCACTCCTGTCCTGTGCTGTGCTGCGTGGCAGGTGCAGAACGGGCTGGCTCTGTACCTGACGTGGACCAGCATCGCCACGCTGCTCAACTTCGCCGTGGTGCTCATCCACAAGTGGAACGTGCCCAGCGAGAAAGCGACCACTGCTTCCCTGAGCATCCTGGCTCTCAGCCTGGTGATATGGTAAGAGACCCCAAGGATCTCCACTGAGCCTCAGATACCCCTTCCACCTGCCACCAGTGGTGACTAGCTGCTCCAATTCACCCATCACTTGTCCCTCCCCCGACGCCAAAGGCCTCTGTTATAATTCATGGCAGATGAACTGCGAGTCTGGGCAGAGCTTTTATCCCCTGAGCTCAGCAATGCCAATAAGTATTGTGGGCCAGGAACATGTTTTTGTGACTTGCATGAGCCCAATCTGCTGTAGGTTTACAGCTGGAGGTGTGATACTAAAACCATATGAAACAAGGCTTTATTCTTCCCTAAAGTTACCTTAAATAAATGATTTATGAACTTTTGGAATAATAATCAATGAAACATTTTGGTCTATTGTCCCAGCTGGCCCACAAAACCCCCCCATTCTCTGTCTGATTCCTTTCTTAGGGAATGGAAAACAAAATACAGAGAACATTCTTACTTTGGTCACTCTTTTTCTTCACAGGTTTTATCTAGAAAATTACCTTCTCGACAAGTACGTCCGCTATAACCTCACAGTCTACCCCGTGGTCATAGCAGCTCTGACAGGCAGCGCCTGTGGGAACGGCTCCTTCTCATCCCCACTGACCAACCACGTTTTCATAGGTGAATCTCTCCAGCTCCTGTAAAAGAAGGCCTGTAAACCCTTCCAATCCCTCCTCTGACTTGCCACATGAAGAGATCTATTTGTTAAAAGCAGAACTAGGGACGTATTTGAAGGTATTTGTTTTGCTAAGGAAAAAGCAGAGCAGAAATCATTGCCCACGAGCCTCAGGGCTGAACCCAAGCCTTGTGCTGTCTCAAGTTCACTTCCCAGAGCAATGTGTTTGTCCTGCAATCCTCCAGCACCCCCTTGGCTCCTCCAGCAGCTCCATCTGACAGAGCAGGAGAGGAAAAGCAGGGCTGGGATGAAGGCTGAGGACTTCATTTGCCCACTGGGGCAGTGCATGAGGGCAGAGGGTTCAGATGCTCCTCTCCTGTGCACAGCTCAGGCTAGCCTTAACAAGTTTTCCTGGGATTATCTGGCTGCTGCCAGCCACTGTAGCAGAGTTGAGTGCAGTCATCCGTGGTAAAAGGCCTTAAGCTGTCCAAATTCTGTACAATCACAGTCTGGCAGGATCTGCACCATTATGAGCAGTTTTGTGCTGGCATGAAAGGCACTGAGCTGTGTGAACTCTGAATGCTGCTGAAACAGTTTGAGATGCCTATTCCCACCCTGGGTCAGCTGAAGGGAGCACGTTCCCACCCTTCAGCCTTCCCACTGCCACAAACCAGTGGCTCAAGCTAAATTCTGGGCTGGCACCACCACTGGAGCTGCCCCAGCACAGCTCCCTTTGCTGTAAGTGCAGCTGGAGCCCGGCTGTGTCCCAAAGCACCCGGCAGGACTTGGCAAAGCTTCTCTGCCACTGCCATGGGGGCACTGGGAGCTCATCTCCTGATGCCTGTGGCCACCAGCAGCGTGGAGGTGTGCTTGGTCTCTGGCAGGCAGCTCTGTTCCTGCACTAGGTACATTTCTTACCAGCAAAACTTCATTCCTAGTTGTTTGGCTGGTTTGGCTGGTAAGACGAGAATGTGCTTTTCCCAAACTAGTACATGTTTCTTTATATAGTTCTACTATTCTTGGAGTATTTTGTTAATGTAATGTATTTTAACCCTTGTGTCCAGGAAGCCTCCCCCTTTTTAGACATTCCTTGACCTGGAAGCATTGGGCAGTTTTCACTGTATAGCAGTAAAACTCTGAGAGATACAACTCTGGATCCTGTACAGGCAATTGTGGGGTTTTTTTTCTCTTTCTCTGAATACTCCTGTTCTGGGAGCTAAAGTATGACAAGAGGAACTGTCTTTTTTATGCTCTAACATGGCTCTGTGTTTTTTCCCCAGTTGTTCTGCTGGCACTGACGTGTTTGATCTTTGCTGTTCGGCTGGGACTGGTTGTGTGGAGACACTGGAAGAGACCACTGGAAGCATGAGAACCCTGAGGCCCATCAGGCACAGTGACCTGAGACCTCTGGCACATTGTGGGTGATGCTTGAAAGGGAGAAAAAAGAATTGGGCATGTGCTGGCTCTTGTTCCTGTATCCATTCCCTTCTGCATTTCTCTCTTATTCTCTGTTCCAAATGCAGATGTCTTGTGTCCGCAAATGTGTCTTGCTCCCACATTCTCTCAGATCAGTTACTCACAACCCTGTCTTGAGTTCCTTTGGTTTTATCCTGGAAAAGTTCAGGAAAAGCAGCCCTGTGCAGCTTTGTGATGCCTGGGCTGTGGCTCTCTTCTCCTGCCAGTGCAAGCAGGGCTGCCAACAGGCACCCAGCAGGCCTGCACACACAGTTTTTCCTGTTTTTCCCTTGGTATCTCACTTTCTTGGAAGTGCAGACCCAAGTGACCTGTCCCTGGGGTTCCAGGTGGGAGAGCTGTCATTCATTGCCTTGGCCATCAGGGCTGAGCATCCTCAAGCCCTGGTGCTGTCAGCAGATCTCCTGCAGGCAGCCACTGCTCCTTTCCTGCTTCTCTGCAGCATGACAGGGGCAGAGACTAGGATTTGACATCTGCCTTTGCAGTGTCAGCTCTGCAGTTTGATGTTCAAGGGGGCAGGGGGAGGGACTGAAGGTTTCTGACACAAAGGTGTTGGTGTTGCCTTTCCCTGAGCTGGGCACAGCTTGGGCTGGCTGGATGTCTCTCACTGGGGGAGTTTGTGGCTACTCTGGAAGGAGCTCAGATGTACAGATGAGCTGGTCCCTGATCTGGGGTGAAGCCTGATGCTTCAAAGGAAGCCTGTTAAAAAAAAAATAAATAAAAATTGAACAGGTAGAGCAAGTTCATCCTGGATCAGTGCCTTCTCATGTGGCTTCACCACTTCTGAGTTGGGATTAGGAAGCCTAAAACTGGATTGACTGAATTTTTGGACCACTGCCTTTCCTTCCTGTGCCTAATTGAGAGCTGGTGGTGCCTCACAGGTGTCTGGAAAGTCTTGGCACCAGGAAGGTGCTTTCAGTGCATCTTGCAGTATTATTAACAAAGCTAAATTCTAAAATAACATGTGCTGTTGTTTACATTTAGCAAAAAGCAAAAGCAGTGTAATGCATCTCCCCTCATCATTCTGGTGTGTTGTTTTTTTTTTTTTTTTCTATTTTTTAATTTTAAAATAAGTCAGCTCATTCTATCACTCTGCAACTAACTCTGTAAATCATCTAAAGCAGCTGTCCTGGCCCCTTCCTCACTCATGCCCAGGGCTCCAGAGTGACTCTGGTCCCTTGCTGGAATCTCATGGAGGTGAAGAGTTGGAGGATGTAGATTGCTAGGTATGATTTAAACTCCTTTGACCAGCACACTGTTCATTAAGTTTCTATTTTATAGGCTCTGCCTCCCAAGATCCCAGCTAATAAATTCCCAGCAGCCTCTCCCTAAGCTGCCTTCTTTAATACAGGGGAATTAAAGCCACTGGCAGGGGGATTAAGGGGTCCAGGCAAGGTGAGAAGCTGCTGTGAGGCTGTGCAGCAGTTCATGCATGGCAGGGTTTTGCAGCCTCCCTCTTGCAGCAAGAGCACTGCAAAGAGCTCCTGGGCCAGGGCAGCTGCACTTTCCCATTAAAAAATGCCTTATCAGGAGCTTTCTTGGTGTCTGTACCTCATTTCTGTGCTGGCCAGTGACCAGAAACTGTATCAAGAATGCAATTAATTGTCTGGGGAGTGTTAAAAGGGGGAAAAACCCTGTCTCAGAAACCTCTGAAGGGCTCAGGAATGTCAGCCCCTTCCCCATGGGCACCTTGAGGTGGTGGCACAATGGGTGCTGCTCTCCCCCTGCTCTCACCTCTCCAAAACAGCTCTGAGGAGAGACTCAAAGGCCCTTTTCACCCATTTAATCCCTGCAGACCTCCCTGTGGGAGAAAGCCCCTGATGACTGCCCTGCAATGATAATACTGAGCTGCCCTAACCCTCATTTGGCCACCCACAAATAATTTCCTGGTCCTCAAAACCCTCTCCAAGCCCTGTTTTCTCACAGCTGGGGCAGCCAGAGGTTCCCACAGCTGTCCCAGCACACAAAGCTCCAGCCAGCTTTGGGAAAAATGGCTTTTCTTGCATCTGCAGCAGGAACAGGAGCCTAAAAATAAACCACCTGCCCCTTTCTTTTTCAGTGGTTGGGGAGGAAGCAGATAAAAAATAAGTGTGACCCTTCCTCTTCCAAACTTGGGGATAAAGATAGCTTCAAGACTATTTTTAAAGGCTTTTTTTTTTTTTTTCCCCAAAACCACCAGTACATGATTTTGCCCACAAAAGATCTTCCTTTCGGCAGAGAGGCATTTCAGAAAACTGGAAGCCTGCCAACCTTTTAGCAAAAAATAATCAGTCCAGCCTTTGTTGCCATGAGGGATTATGGGATTTGGGTGAATTTTAGAGGATTTAAAATTTCTTGGAAAGCTGGTGGCCTTAAGAAGGCAAAGCCTGAAAAATTAGTTTATTTTGTGGAAAGGTGGTTGTGAAAAGGTTGATGTGCCTTGTAGCCCAGCCTGGGGTGTGACCCAAGTGCCCTGGACATGAGGGCTGGAGATGGAGGTTCCCAGGACATGAAGGTTTATTTTGCTTTCTGGTACAAAATCTGGGACTACACTTCCCACCTCTGCAGAGATTCCCTCTGTGGCAAAGCAGGAAAAAGGGAAAAGCAGATCTGTAAAACACCACTGGGTAGAGAACTTTAATTCTGTTTAGATGTGTGGGGATGCTCCTTCCCCAGTCTAGGGCCAGCTCCTGCTCAGGCAGCCTCCCTCTGGGAATGACCCACCAGTTCATCACAGCTTTTCCTGAGGGATGAACTGGCTGGGCTGGACATTTCTGAGGCTGCTGAGCTGTTGTTTTCAGTCAAATTTCTGTGAAAATCTGATTGAAAAGAATGCTGGATGGGAGAAGCTGTGCGGCAAGGGAAATATGCATTTGAACTGAGAATGCAAATGTGTTAATTCAAAAGGAATTCCTTTAAAAAAAAGAGGTTATAAGACCCTGAGTCAGGCTCTTATTAAAGCCCACACAGCTTCCAGAGAAAACCATGCTTCATTTCATGCCTTGGGACGCACCCCATCCTGCCCACACCCCAAACACTGCACCCCCTGTGATGCTCCTGGCCCCTGCCTGCTGGGCTCCCAAAAACCAGAGCACCCAGGCAGGGGAGACGTTGTCTTGCAGCCTGATTTGTTCTTGCCTTAATGCCACCCTCAGGACTAATCACTTTATATGAAAGCATCTGTGAAATGGAGTAATAAATAAATGAAGCTGAGAGAAAAGAGATGTAAAGCACCAGGACAGAAAGCAGCATTGCTTTTCTTCTGCAATTCCACTTTGCAAAAACCCCTCTCCTGGCTGCATCCAGGGGCACAGGGGGACACAGGGACTGTGGCTGAGTTATGGGCACAAGTGGCACCAGCAGCAGGAAAACAGGAAAACAGGAATACAGGAAAACAGGAAAACAGAAAAACAGGAATACAGGAAAACAGGAATACAGGAATACAGAAAAACAGAAAAACAGGAAAACAGGAAAACAGAAAAACAGGAATACAGGAAAACAGGAATACAGGAAAACAGGAAAAAAGGAAAACAGGAAAACAGAAAAACAGGAAAACAGGAATACAGGAAAACAGGAAAGCAGGAATACAGGAATACAGGAAAACAGGAATACAGAAAAACAGGAAAACGGGAAAAAAGGAAAACAGGAACACAGGAAAACAGGAAAACAGGAATATAGGAATACAGGAATATAGGAATACAGGAAAACAGGAATACAGGAAAACAGGAAAAAAAGGAAAACAGGAATACAGGAAAACAGGAAAACAGGAATACAGGAAAACAGGAATACAGGAAAACAGAAAAATAGGAAAAAAGGAATACAGGAAAACAGAAAAATAGGAAAAAAGGAATACAGGAAAACAGGAAAACAGAAAAACAGGAAAATAGAAAAACAGGAAAACAGGAATACAGGAATACAGGAAAACAGGAATATAGGAATACAGGAAAACAAGAAAACAGGAATACAGGAAAACAGGAATACAGGAATACCAGAAAATAAGAAAACAGGAAAGCAGGAAAACAGAAAAACAGGAATACAGGAAAACAAAAAAAAAAAACAGGAAAACAGAAAAACAGGAAAACAGGAAAACAGGAATACAGGAAGACAAAAAAAACCCCAGGAAAACAGGAAAACAAGAAAACAGGAAAACAGTAATACAGGAAAACAGGAAAACAAAAAAACAGGAAAACAGGAAAACAGGAATACAGGAAAACAGGAAAACAGAAAAACAGGAAAAAAGGAATACAGGAACACATGAAAACAGGAATACAGGAAAATGAAAAAACAGGAAAACAGGAAAACAGGAATACAGGAATAAAGGAATACAGGAATACAGGAAAACAGGAATACAGGAAAACAGGAATACAGGAATACAGGAAAACAGGAAAACAAAAAACCAGAAAAACAGGAATACTGGCAAACAGGAATACAGGAAAACAGGAATACAGGAAAGCAGGAAAACAGGAAAACAGGAATACAGGAAAACGGGAAAATGGGAAAACAGGAATACAGGAAAACAGGACTACAGGAAAACAGGACTACAGGAAAACAGAAAAACAGAAAAACAGGAAAACAGAAAAATGGGACTACAGGAAAACAGGAAAACAGAAAAACAGGAAAACAGAAAAACAGGAAAAAAGGAATACAGGCAAACAGGAAAACAGGAAAACAGGAAAACACTTCTCATGTCACCTTGTCGGAGGAGCCTTGGAGAGGGAACACAAGGAAGGGTGGCTCCAAAGGTGGCACCCCCAGCACCCCCGTTTCCTTATCTGGGATGCAGAGATGAACAGGACAAACCTCTCTGTGGAGGACTGGGAAGAACTGCAGATAAAAGCACGGAATACATACAGGGATGATTAAAGACAGCAATGCCCTTTGCTATGCACACAGTCTAAACACGCCAGGCCATCCTGGGCTCTTTGAAAACTGTTAGATGTTCTCCAGCTAAATATTTATTTTATCTGCTGGGACAGCCCCTGTCGGGAGATCAGCTCACTCCCTCTGTCAAAGGCATCTCAGCAAAGAGTTGTGGGCTGGGGCAGGACTCATGCATGGGCTGAACATGTGGGAAAAATGCTGGAGCAGCCCCAGAGCCTGACCCTGCTCCCAGCAGAGCTGGGGCACTGCTCAGAACAGGCTTTGGCAGGGGAATAGCTCCATGGGCCTTCCCTGCTGGAAAATTTGACTCAAGGCCCTTGAATAGCCACACAAGGATGCTGTTTCCTCCCTCCAGTTTGGGAAGCGAGGGTCTTGAAGGCCTTTGGCCAAGAAGGTGGTAAAATGTGATGTTTAATCAATCAAGAAGAGATTGATTGTTATCTGCTCAGGGTGGGAAGTGGCAGAGACATTAGTTGGTAACTTGGGTTGCCTTAACACTGTTCTAGCTAAAACATGAGCTTAAAAAAATTACTGAAAAGTACTTAGCTTGAGTAAGTGGTCCATGACATATTTTTATCCGAGAGAGGAAAAAACAAATTGTGTTTGGGCCTGTGGTTGCCATTGGTGTCAATGGGTGTTTTGCCACCTATTTTGCAGGAGCAGAATAGAGGAATATTTTGCTGTGAAATGGTCTGAGGGCTGAGAAAGGAGCATGGGGATTGAGCAAAGACATCTGAGAGCTGTGTCAGACCAGCCTGGGAGCCAGAGTCTGGGTTTCCTTGTCCTAATCTTCACCTTAAGCCCATTAAAAATGGCATGGACAAAACATCTGCATGCTGTTGATGTTTTGGGCTGTGGTCTGGGCCAAAAATGCAGCCTCCTAGGAGACCCACTGTGTTTCCCCTTGTTTATGGGGTGCCTTTCCCCCTGCAAATATGTTTCTGCTCAATCCTACTGCCCTTGGCATGAGAAAGTTCCCTCCAGGAGTGGCAATGCATTTGGTAAGAAAAGTGCCATCAGACAGAAGCTCATCACAGGTGCACTTAGAGAAGACCAGAAATCATGAGGAGACACCCCCTGGGTGCCTGATACCAGCAAGGGCAGAGTGATGGCTTAGGGCTGCACGTGGGGCAGGTGGAAGTGTTCCTTGAGGCATTTTTGTCTGATGGCTCCCTGATACCCAGGCCAGGCCCTACACACCATCATGCCAGGCACATTCCTACCCTGATGCAGCAAACCACTGTTTGGATGCTTCTGACATCTCCTGGAAAAGTCACTGCCCAAGGAGATGCTTTGGGACACTCTCTGCATTACCCCTCCATCAGGAACCATCTCTCCTGCCTGGAGCTCCCCTGGCCAAAAGGTGATAGGAAACCAGGGATATACTGTCCACACAACACTAGCCAGAGCAGTGTATCCTACTCAAAATAGTAGGAAGAAAAGCTGCTGGTGTGGTTTAATAGGATGGATGGAAAACCAGGAAAAACACTGTTGTGGTTCCTCAGACAAGAACATCTTGTTCAGCCAAATGCAAAGGTGCTCCTTGAGGACACTCCTGCGGAGACAGGGAGACGGGCTGATGGCAGGGATGCTGCTGCCTGGCTGGGAAAATGTAAAGGAAACATCTGAGAATTACCACAGCATTACCACAGAACATATGCAGGCAGGGTAG